GTTATTAATAAATATATACTAAAAGTGTCATTTTTAGCGAATAAATTTGTTTACACAAAATTTTACTTAATAACGTATACTTCAAACTTCTAGATACTTCACTATCAAGAGGTTCTTGATGAAGATTCGCTGATTACGAATCCGATGTCAAAAATACAAAATTCAAAATAGTGGATAAAATTCAAATAAATAGAATAAATAAAACTTGCCACATCTGTAACGACCTGCGCAAAACGTCCCTCACCGCGGAAAACCAAACGCAAAACATTAACATATAAAAACGCGCAGGAGAAAAAGCAGTAGGAAAACCATCGAAAAGCATCGAACAACCGCGAAGCAAACCGAAGTGAACGAGGAAATCAGTATAAAAGTCGACGCCAAAATCTAGACGACACGTAGTTCTTCCGAGGCTTCCAGCTAACAAGAGCTAGGCTCTACAGCAGAGAAACAGTCCGGAACGAGCCATCCGCTGTGGATTCGCAGCGATACCCAGATCGAGTCGTGGATACGCGACTTCGACTCCGCTTCCCGCAGATCCCCGAATCGTGGATACGCGATCGGAATCATCCTGAGTCCTCTAGTCAGATCGTAGATACGCGACTTCGACTCTGGTTCACCGATCGTGGATACGCGATAAGTGCCTCCCTGAGACCGCTCAGCAAGTCGTAGATACGCGACCCCGACAGCCACTCTAGCTCACAAATCGTGGATACGCGATCTGAGCATCCTTAATCCACACATCGAGTCGGGGATACCCGACTGTAACAGCAACCACCGCCTCTCGATCGTGGATACGCGATCCAGAGCTCCGAGCGTCCACCAGTCGAGTCACGTGACTTCGACAACAGATCGTGGATACGCAATCAGCCGTATCCATCCGCAATTCGAAGACGCAACTTCGATACCACACACAATGATCCCCGCTGTAAGTAGAGGAACGCGCGACCGTAATACCGTTCCCAACATCGCCAGTACAGCGTCGTTACCAAATTAAATATCTCTCTAACGGCATTTAAACATGCGACACATGCAAACATAAACACTCAAGCTATTGCCGAATAGAAAAACCGACGCAACACAAAACCGACTGCTCCCCGCAGACCGCTCGCGGTTTCACGCAAACCGACATGCGAAGCGGTAAACCATACACATAGATTATTGGTGTGTGCGAGCGACCAAATACCAACGACGTCGCAATCCGCTGTACATAAATCTGTAAATAATGATCTTTTAAAATAGACGACATAAGAGAAAATTACATCACGATATATCATTTTATTAAGTCTTCTGCAAACCCGAACCGGCGAGACTATCAGGAACCCGAAATAAAGACGTTACACGTTCTCACTCTTAGTTCCGAATCATGCAGAGAGCAAGTTATACATTATCGATAAAATATAGAGAATTTAAATTTTTAAGGATTATATTCGATATATCGAATTACCAGCATATTTAATAATTCAATTGTATAATTTTAAATGCAGATTCTCATATTCACCGCCTGGAAAAAATATTAAGGACTATATTTCAGTAAGATATATCAGAAAATATATTTATGCACAGTTTTTTTAGGACATATCCACCAAACAAGCTTTGTCATTATGGATTTTATATCATTTTTAATATCAAATTCGTAATCAGTGACCTTAAAAACCCTCCAGATAACAAGTTTCAAGCGTATTCGATCGATTTTGACAATTTTTCCGCCATAATGGATCCGCCATTTTAAATTCTGTATCTTTGACATCAGATTCATACTCAGCAAACCCAAAATACCTTGGGTAACAAATTTCACAAAATTATATTTATTAGAAAAAACGAGTGACTGTGCTAGCTAAGGTACAAGGGTAAAGTACCTTAAAAAAATGTATTGCTCCACACATTTCCTTGCAAAAGTGTTTCTACATTTGATTGTTCGCAAAATATGTCGGTTAGTAATTTGTTGCTCATTGTTTATCGCAAAATCGAGTGGCTGTGCTAGCTAAAGTGCAAAAGTAAAGTATCGTAAATAAATTTGTTGCTCCACGCATCTCCTCACAAAAGTATTTCTAGATTTTGCTGCTCTCAAGATATACCGGTTAGGAATTTGTTGCTCACTGTTTATCGCAAAATCGAGTGACTGTACTAGCTAAGGTACAATAGTATAGTATTGTAAAAAAATTTATTGCTCCACGCATTTCCTCGCAAATGTGTTTCTAGATTTTGTTTCTCTCGGGATATATCGGTTAAGAAATCTAGAAACACTTTTATGAGGAGATGCGTGGAGCAGTAAATTTATTTACCGTACTTTACTCGTGCATTTTAACTAGTACAGCCACTCGATTTTGCGATAAACAATGTGTAACAAATACCTAAACGGTATGTCTTGAAAGCAACAAAATCTAGAAATATTTTTGCAAGTGATGCGTGGAGCAACAAATTTATTTATGATACTTTACTCTTGAATTTTAGCTAGCACAGCTACTCGATTTTGCGATAAACAATGAGCAACAAATTCCTAACCAGTATATCTTAAAAGTAACAAAATCTAGAAACACTTTTGCGAGGAAATGCGTGGAGCAACAAATTTATTTACGATACTTTACTCTTGCACTTCAGCCAGCACAGCCACTCGATTTTGCGATAAAAAATGAGCAACAAATTACTAATCGATATATTTTTGGAGTAATAAAATCTAGGAACACTTTTGCGAGGAGATGTGTGAAACAACAAATTTATTTACAACAAATTTATTTACGATACTTTACTTTTGCATATTAGCTAGCATGGCCACTCGATTTTGCGATAAACAATGAGCAACAAATTACTAACCGACATATTTTGCGAACAATCAAATGTAGAAACACTTTTGCGAGGAAATATGTGGAGCAATAAATTTTTTTACTGTTTGGCTGTGCTAACTTAAGCTAGCACAGCCGTTGTTTTTTTTTCCGAAACGGCTGGTACAACGCAATCCGGAATAGAGCAACAAATTAGCAACAAATTAACATTAAAAGAATCTGCCTTTGTTTTTTTATTTGCTTCATTTTTGCGAGTGGCTGTGCCAACTTGAGTCTTAAGATAGCACAGCCATTGTTTTTTCCGAAACAGCTGGAGCAACAAAATCGGGAATAAAGCAACAAACTAGCAACAAAAGAGCACTAAATTTTTATACTGATCGCGTTCTATGATGCTGAAGTAGCTGTGCCAGTTTCATAGACGTAATAACATGTATTACATATATGCCACCTCTGTTATGAAAAATTAATTATTTTTTATGTTGTTGCATCTCTTTCAGCTCATTGCTAACTCAGTATAAATATCATCTAGATAACATATTGAATCTTACAATATGGTAAAAAGAATAATTCCTCAATAAAAAATTGAAAAATTAATTTTTTATGACAAAATTATTTTACTTTATCATAAGAGGCAAAGAGACTCACGCGAAAAAAGCACCTCGTTTCTCTAAATCAGATCACACGCATATATAATACATGTTTTCATAATAATTTTTTACGTAGAATCAAATAGCGCTGTTAGATTTCACGAAAAATTATTTTGCAACTTAATTGTTTAACCACTTAAGTTGTAATGACGCATATATACGCGAAAATTTTTTGTGACAAAAATGGTAATGACGCATATGTGAATATATTGAATAACTTTTCCAATTTTTATTGGATTTCGGAAAAAATTGGTACCCCCTGAAGTATAATGTTAAATATTTAACATAAAATTATACTGTGTGAAACATAATCAAAATTAACTCAAATTATATTAAATTAAATCGAAATTAAACAAATAAAAATGTGAAAGCCAAAGAAAACCTTTCTCTTTGTGTACAAAGACGTAAGAAGCTAAATTAGTTTAGTTTACTTCATTGAAATACTGTAGTAAACAAGGATTGTAAATTATTTTTCTTTTGATTTGTTTCCCTTTTTCGGTCAATATTTCTGTTTTTCATACATACGATATTGTAATAAAATGATTTAATAAGTTTTAATTATTTCATCTGTTTTATTATCTGTACCTGCTATATTCATTCAAAACACTTCAAACTGTTGAGAGTTGTACATTGAATCGATCGTTATTACGCGTTTCAATATCATTGAACCAATTACCATACTTTGAATATTGTAATAATTTCAAATATTTCCAATTCTAACTAATGAAGACGAGGGTTTTTCAGGACACGTCATTCATGCTAAACAAAGCTTGCTTGTAATACGTACTTGTATAAAATTATTCTCATCTGTAAGCGTTGACGGGCGAGCCGTTAGAAATCATAAAAAGATACACGGTCGAATAATCGCGAACGAATTCGGAAAAATAAACATACAGACAAAAACTTAAATTCGATTAGAGAGACATCGAACGACGGGTGGCTAACATATTTGTTTACATGCGTGATGTTAGCTGCTTGGATATAACGAGTTAAAAGACACAAGCAATGAAAAAAACGCCAAGGAATCCGAGCGATCACAATATAAGAGCCGAGATAGAAAAAGAGCGGCGATCTTTTGGTTTTGGAAACCAAATATAGATTTTGTGCATTAAGTGGTTACCAGACTTTATATTACTCGTTTCCTTTTGCTTGTGTCTTTTCATTTTTGTGGCTTAAAGTGACAGAAGTCGGATCGGGATCAGATTCACGATCGGGGCTGGGTGCCTGGAGATGGATTCGGCTAAAAATTTGAAAATAGTATCTTTGAAGGCGCTCTTAAAAAAAAGGGATTCCCGTTGCGAAGCATTAAAAATAATCTGATCAAGCGATTAGAAAATTACGATCCGTCCGGCCGGTGGAGAGAAAAATATGAAATGTTGGAAAGAGGTGACATCGGGAAAAGCGCACACGAGGAGGCCGTCGAAGAGGACAAGTTTCCGTGCGCTGATCAGTCTAGAGAAGATATTAGAGACCTCGATCACAGGGCAGCGGATCATGTGAACGAAATAAATCAAAGAACGCTGCACCTCGAAAGAGAATTTTTATACTTGAGGAGAGAGCGCGATTTGATATAGCGCGATTTGATATAGCGCGAGTTGGAGCTCCTGAGAAAAGATACAGGAAACGCGTCACTGGCGCACCCTGCTGATGCGAGAAATGTAAGTAGCGTTGGGTCTCTTCGCCAAACATCAGTCAGTGCGCTTAGTAAATTGGTCAATTTTTTTGACGAGGAAGACATGTTCTGGCGATGGGAGAAGCAGTTTGGGTTGGTAAAAACCATATACACTCTAAACGACAGCGCAACGCACATATTAGCAAGCATGAAACTAAAACGACGCGCTTGTAATGGTTCCACTCGAGGCCTGAGCACCTTAAGATGCCGATGGAGGAGCAGATTAGCGCGTTATATGGCCGGAAATATTTTACGCTTCTCGATTTAAAAGATGGTTTTCACCATGGTTTTCACGTAGCAGAGAATAGTATTAAATATACAGCGTTCGTTACTCCTTTGGGTCAATTCGAATATATTAAGATGCCTTTCGGACTAAAAAACGTGCCTGTTTGTTTCCAAAGATATGTCAACAATGTGCTCAGCAGTGTTAACCGATAATCTTATAGTATATATGGACGATTTTCTTATTGCTACCAAAACGATAGAAAAACATTTCCGTACGTTGGAACGTGTGTTCGAATTACTTATTGAGAATCTCCTAAAGCTTAGGTTGGATAAATGTCATTTCTTATATGAGGAGATCGACTTTCTGGGATACATCGTGACCGCTGAAAGTATAAAACCGAATAAGTCGAGTATCGAAGCCGTTGAAAATTTTCCGACGCCTAAATCAGTCCGCGACGTGCAGAGTTTCCTTGGACTATGTTCGTATTTTCGCAAGTTTGTATGAGATTTTTCTGTAATTGCTGCTCCGTTATATGAATTGATGAGGAAGGGAGCAACGTTCGAGTTCGGGCAAAGGCAAATAGAGGTTTTTAACGAATTAAAAAGTAGGTTGTTGGAAGCTCCGATTTTTGCGATATATAGCCCGCAGGATGAAACCGAATTACACTGCGATGTAAGCGCGCAGAATTTTGGTGCAGTGCTTATGTAAAGGAAAGCAGATCAACGATTTCATCCGGTTTTTTATTTTTCGAAGTGTACTACAGGCGTAAAACAGGATCATATTACCATAGCTACGAATTTGAAACGTTGGCAATAATTTATGCGTTAAATCGATTTCGGATATATTTGCAAGGTATACCAATTAAAATTGTTACCGATTGCAATTCGTTGAAAAAAAAAGAAATTAACCCGCGAATTGCTCGCTGAGCCCTGGAATTGCAGGACTTCGATTACGTGACAAAATATCGTCCCGGAAAGCGTATGACACACGTAAACGCACTTAGTAAACGCACAGAGAGTCAACTGCGTGTTGACTATCGAGTCTAATACTTTCGAGGTAAATTTATCGTTATGCCAATCACGCGATTCTACTATATCGAAGATACGGACGCGGTTAGAAAAGGAGCAGAATCCTCTCTACGAAATGCAAAGCAGTTTAGTATATAGAAAAAAAGAAGATAAAATATTATTTTACGTACCGGTTTTAGTGTGTTTTAGAATGTGCTTTTAGAAATCATAATGAGCTTGGACATTTTAAAGCGGATGAAACCTGTGCTATCTTACGGGAAAATTTTTGGTTCCCGAATATGAGGACCAAGGTAAATGCTCACATTGCAAATTGCACGAAGCGTCTTGCTTTCTCTAAAGTTGACGGGAAAAAAGAGGGTATTCTATATCAAAGGAAAATTTATCGTTTGCAACGATTCATGTCAATCACTTCGGACCGATTGATCGATCACATGCCGCTAAAAAGTACATATTCTTGATCGTAGATGCGTTTACTAAATTTGCTCGATTGTATGCTGTTAAGTCGCGAGAAACGATACGCTGTTTATGAGATTATTTTCAAGCATATAGTTGTCCTAAAGTTTTAATCTCGGATAGAAGTACCTATTTCACGTCGAAAAAGTTTATGGAATTTATGTGTAAGGCGAATATTGAACACGTTAAGTTCGCTACTGGATTGCCGCAGGAGAATAGTCAAGTGGAATGTTATAAGAAGATATTAGTAGTAATGTTGAGGAAACTTTATGCCAGCATAAATTGCTTCCAGAAATAGAATATGCTTTAAATAATTCGATGAGTCGTGCGATCGGCGAGACTCCAAGTAAACTGTTAATCGGTGTTGAGCAGCACGAGTGTAAAGTAGATGCATTAAAAGAGTATATCGAAGAGTATGTCAAAATGAGCTTCCTGATCGCGAGGTGGAGGCAAGGCGAGCGAAAGCAAAGAAAAAAATTGTTCAGGTAAAGACCTATAATGAAATATATGTGAACCAAAAACGGAAACCAGCTCACGAATACTGCGAGGGGGATTTTGTGATGCTAAAAAATTTCGGGGCTAAGCCAGGTAAACTGTCGCCTACTTACAAAAGCCCGTACCAGGTTTTGCGAAAATTGCGGAATGACCGATATATCGTGGGAGACGCGGAAAGAGTTCAATTGTCGCAGCGCCTACACGTGAGGCAAGTAATATGAAACCGTGATGAGTTCAGGTTGAAGCGCGGAATGACGATAAGCCAGATGACGCTGACGAGCTTACTGTGGTCAAATAAAATTTGCAGTTAATGCACTGTAGCATGTATATGATAGGATATATATGATATGAGTTGCCATAGGCTTAACTCAAACTATAAGTTTAAATTATAAGACAAGCGAAATAAAATTTCATGCTGGGACGGTCAAGATCGGCCTGTCGTCAGGATGTCCGAACTGTAAGCGTTGACGGGAGAGCCGTTAGAAATCATAAAAAGATATACGGTCGAATAGTCGCGAACGAATTAGGAAAAATAAACATATAGACAAAAACTTAAACCGTCGATTAGAGAGACGTTGAACGACGGGCGGCTAACATATTTGTTTACATGCGTTTAGCTGCCTGGATATAACGAGTTAGAAGACGTAGGCAATGAAAAATACGCCAAGGAATCTGAGCGATCACAATATAAAAGCCGAGATAGAAAAAGAGCGGCGATCATTTGTTCAGGCGTTTGCCTTGCTTTGATATTTTTTGGAAAGCGATTGTGCATAACGGTTTGTAATTATCAAGGAGGCTCTTTAGAAACCAAATACAGGATGTTTACGAATTCCACCGACAAACTGATAGGATGGTTCATAGTCAATAGAGGATCAATTTTCAATATGTTTATTTTGTCAGATCTGCCTCGCTACGGAGTTATTGGGTGTGAAAGTCAGTGAAAGTCAGATAAGATTATTACCAGTCGTTTCGCAAAAACAAGTCTGAAGCCGTTATTACTGTTCTTCTTTTGTTTACGTCACGCTATGCTCTTTGTCAAACAAGCGACATGCAAGCTCTTGACGCTTGCATATCGCTTGATGCTATTTGGTTCTCAATATCTTTCTTGATTCACGGCCATTGATACAATGTTTAGGAATAGCTTCCGGAATGGAGCCGTGTCTTGAATCAGCGATGTGTCGACGTTTCGCAAACGTTGCAGTTTGCATCATCAGGACTGAGAACTCTGATACTGAGCTCCCTTGGGTAAAGGTTGTCCTTATATGCCCCC